CTATGAACGGGGCTGTGGTGACGATGGTTGGCTGCTCGAGGGAAGACGCCGGCAAGAGAAATGAAAAAAGAGAAAAAAAAACGATGGCAATTGGGACGGTTTTTTTGCTGTGGACGATGGCAGATGACGGAGATAATTACAAATTGTGGGCTATTGGGACGGTGGAGAAAATAATTGTGGAGATGGTTTTGGTCACACCTTTTTATTCTTTTATTAATTGGAGTCAGTTATGGTCATAACACGTTTTTCTATATTTAAAGATAATTATGTTTAAACTAATATTAAGGTATTTATGTAAATAAATTATATGATTTTAGTGATTTTGCAAATAAAAATATATAGACTGTAAAATTATAATAAAAATGGTCTGGTGTAGTGCACAATGTAATTTCCTCTAGACTTTTATATTAGACTATTTTTTGTTAGTTGTCTTCTTGGTAGTCAGGGTAAAACATAAGAGGATGAAAAAAAAAAATCTACATGGTGTCCGTAGTGTATTTAAAAAGCTAAAAGTGGTCTTTTTCAATTTACTGTGAAAATGTATTAAGTTTTTTACACCGCCCATTTGATAAATTAAATTTTTCAGCTTAGAAAGTGCGAAGACATTGTGCGATTAATATGCGACAGTTGTACGATGGCGTGACAATTGTATTGCCCAGTCGCACATACCATTCGCACTTTCTCGGGAGAAAAAAGTTTAAAGTGTAAATACATTGTGCCAAGAATATGCGACAATCATGTAATTGATATGTGACAGCTATGCGCTCCATTCGAATAACTTTCGCACTTTCTGGGGTGTAATAATATAGTTATGCCCTTTCTGAGGTGAAACAATAAAGTTATGCGGTCTATTTGCATAACCTTCTCATTTTTTGAGGTGAAAAAATAGCTTATTAACTGTAAAAAAAATAAAAAATAATGTACCTTTATAATGGGGTGAAAGAGATTTTTTCTCTTTAAAAAATGTATCTATTACCATAAAAAAATAATGTGATTGTAATAGAAAAATAACTTATGTACAAACGAAATATGTATATCCTTCTATATACAAATGCAAACGTTTCTCAGTTACATCTTTATTTTCAAATGTTTCTCACTTCTACTGTGAAAATAAAATTTCGACTGTTGTATCCGTGTATATAAATGAGAGTTACCGAACATAGGTGTCATTACTCCAAATTTAATTACAAATTATTATATAATATAAGTTAAAAATATATTATAACATAACAGTCGTATAAGTGATGAGTATCATTTTAAATAAATAATCATATAGTTTTTTAAATAAATATTTGAAAATTCAAAACTTTTCAGTTTTTAATTTTAAATATAAATTTTCATAAACAAACAGCCGTATGATACACGACTATTGTACTAGTATTATATGATTTCACGTGAAAATACAGGATCTCCATGAGCATATTGTAATTCTGACTTATTTAAGGGACTCAACTATTTGATAAATGAATAGTATTATTATTCAATATTAAAATATAAATTAGAAATATTATTTTTGGTTAGTAAATCTATTCAACATAAAAGTGCTATAATATGATTTAAATTTATCATTTGAATATATATATATATATATAAAAAAAAATATAAACAACCATCTTCATAAAAGTCAAACTTTTGCATATCAACCATTCCTAAATAGATATCCATCAGAATAAAGAAAAGACCAAAAACCAACCCCATAAAAAGTTTCAAACCATAAAGTACTTATTTCAAGATTCCTAATCACAGTCAAACTAACAAGACATAGAGCTGATCACTGGCCTCTACAAGCAAGTGCCCCAAATGTTCTTGTGGAGGAACAATGGATAATAACATGTAAAATGCGCAGTCGAAGTCCGGTTCAGAGTGGAAAAACATACTGTGGCAACATACGACAACTTCTTGTGCGAGGCCTGTAAAATTCAGGTTTTAGGCAAATTCTCGTGCGCCTTATCAGTCTCTAATCCATAACCCACAAGAAGATCATCAGAAAAGTACTGCAGTTAGATAAAGTAATATGATAACTATAATATGATACATATAATAGCACTTATATATATGGGCTCTCTTGGAGAGTGCTTGACTCAAGCCCCGCCGCTTAATTCCAAGCATCCACAGACCAAGAAATTTGTCGAGCTTGAGCTTGAAAATTCTATTATATCAACTTAAGAAAAACGATATTTTTCTATTATAATTCGTAATTGTATCAATATTATTACGTTACAATTTTCTTTATCACATTGTCCACTTAACGTACCACAAATAGAAAAGAAAGAAATAGAAACAAAATGAAACGAAACCATGAAGTAACATGTCGAGTAATGGCATAATACAAACCATAAAATTCGAATACATGGAGATTAGATATCGTTATTAAAGGTGTTGAAAGTCGATATATCACCTCAAAGCCACAGTAATACTTTCCATGGCCGACGAGTTCGATGTCGATTTGTCGGCATTTTGGTTTATCGATTAGCGCACAAACAGATATGGACGATGCACCTTTAGCTGCAATGTGGTCAATCAGACAGGATAATCTTCTCCCAGTATCCACAATATTCTCAACCTATGCAGTAGGAAAAAAAACGAACAATAAATAAATAATAATAATAATAATAATAAAGAAAAAACAATTACCAGATCAACCATAAGATTCATAAACTGCAGCAAATAAACATTATGCACATGAAGTGCAAAATATAATATCTATAAAGCTAGTGTCTCTTTCTTTGAGTAAATTCATCAAACATCTAATAAGTGCAAAGACAAAAGTAAACAGGGCATTTCAAATTTTGGATGTAAAACATATTCAGATTTGTCTCCACTGCATAACTATGAATCGATACAAAAATTTTACCAGAAAAAAATATTATTCATGTATTCCTGTTTCTTTCTCCTTCAGTACAATTGAACAATATAATTCGATCATTATCATAAGCTTTTCAATTAAATTCATTATTCATCAACTTGACTTATTGTAACTGTAAAATCATTATTCTATTACCTCAATTTTAATAATTACATTTTATCTCCTATTCATTCAAAAACTCAAATTTTGTTCATTCTTACGTATGCCACTGACCAAGATACTGCTGGATCAATACAACAGTAAAACCTCAAAATTTGATAGGTACCTATTCTTACACCCAAAATTTACTATTGACTAAATTTTTTTCTCAATAATCTATATCCAATCAGCAATTATCACTTTCACTACTAACTTAATTCTTTTCTAGAATAATCTAGATCCAATCACACGACGAACAAAATCAATCCAGTACGGACCAAGATGACGTGGCGTCCCCGGACTTCGAGGTTTTCCTCGAAAGTAATCGTGTCTGCGCGCGACACGATCCGGACGGAGGTGGTAGTGAAGCTGAGTTTAATGCCCTTGACAAGTCTGGCAAGAAACAGCGGCACGGAGCCGTCGTAGCCGACGCCGACGACCACCGGAGGATCTCCCCTGAAGTCGGCGGTTATCTCGGATGCGCGATCTTCGATCTGTTGCCTGGTGAAGACGATTCTTTCGACGTGTTTGTCGAATTTCAGAGACCAATCAAAATAACCATAACGAATCAGCCTGAAAATTCGGCCGTCCATGCGCTTTCGCGCCATTTTTATGTAACGTAAGAGATGGGAAAGAGATAAATGGTGATTGGGTTTACAGTGTGAGATAATTTTTTGTTTTGGAGAAAGATTTTGAGTACAGGATGACGTGACGTCCCCGGACTTCTAAAAATCCGATTTTTAGAAGGAAGGTAGATCTCATATATTCAAATTCTTTAAAATGAGGACAGTTATTATTGTTATTATTATTATTATTATTATTATTTTTTATTTATATTATTTTATTTTTTTACGAAGTCTATGTTTGGTAGATAAATAAGTTAGCTTATAGCTTATTTGGCTAGTTTATAAGCTTCCTGTATTTAAATAAACCAGGACGGGCTTTTTTAAAAAGCTCGAGCTTATTTGATATGTTTCTTTAGGTAACTTTTCAAATAAGCTAGTTGATTTTTTTATTCCAACTAGCTTATCAACTAATTTTACCAAACATTTTAATCATATAAGCTAGCTTTTTAGCTATAAGTCATAAGCTATAAGCTAAAATATTGCTGATAAGCTATAAGCTAGCTTATCAACTATCAACTAGCTAGTTTTACCAAACATAGCCGAAATCAATAGGATGCTCATAATAAAACTGGATACAAAGTTCGAATACATCACTAGAGAACAACTAACACCGCGTGAAATGGAAGACCTCACAACCAAGGTCTAAATGCTAAACAAGCAGAGGCAGCACGGGGTTGAAATCCTAAGCTAGACCAACCAACACAAAGCAACACAGTGACGGCAAATAACAAACTAAGACTAAGAACAATAGAGAAAACCAGGTAAGATTAAATGGGATGGGTCGCAAGACAGATGGTTTACTATATGAGTAGAGTTGGAGCGTTAAGGGCAGATGGATATGGAAAAAAATCGGTTTTAGTTGGTTTTTATCGGTTGAGTACGTGGGTTGATTGGATACGGATTACATGAATTTTTTATCGGTTTTAATTTTTGAATGTCTTCACTCATACACCCAACCACTCCAAATAAATTAATGAGCACTGCCGTCTGTTCGTAGAAGAGATATTTGTGTTCATCATCTTCCAATCAACTGCTTCTTCAACTGTGTTAGCTCATGACAACAGTTTATTTATTCTTTTGGGTAAAACTGTGTTCATCTTCATAGCTATGTATAAACTTACTTAGATCCCACAAAAGTAGTTATGTTTTTCAATCGTTTTGCTTATGCGAACAACTTCAAAATTAGATTGAGTAGGACTATATGTTGGAAATCCGCAAGAATCGGCGTGTTCATTGTGGATTACCTATATTTATTTATGTTCGGGCCGCTTATTGAAATTTTAAGTCAAATAATTGAAAAAAAAATTGGGATTACTATTCACCGCCCCTTGGACATTTTTGCCCCTGTCATTTTTTCCAAAAAGTAAAAAAAATATATATTTTTGTCCGGCCGCCCAAACCGGACAACCCAAATGGCGTCCGGCCCCGACAGCCCAAATGGCGTCCGGCCGCGACAGCCCAAATGGCGTCCGGCCCCGACGGCCGGTCATGACCGGTCCGACCGGCCGGACACTTTTTTTTATATAAAATAATATTATTATAAATTATTATGTTATATATTCAAAATAATTTGTTATAAATTGGACATTAGAATAAAAAAAAAATCATTCAACTGAAGTTTAGCAAAACAAAAAAAACCATTCAACTTAAAAATGAAAAAAAAAAAAGTACAATTGATGCGATTTTCGATTGCTCTGTAACACGAACGAGCCTGTCTCTGCAATCGAAAAATTATGTATTGATTCAGGGTCTACTGACACCCTGAATCAAAAATATAAAATAATAATTAGTAAATATTTTTTTGCTAACAAATTACATATATATTTTTTAATATATTCTTTAACTATATTTATATATATATATATATATATATATATCTTTTAATAAATATATATATATATATATAATTTTTTTTAATACAACTAATTATTAATATATATATTTTTTAATATTTCTTTTATTTAACTTTTTTAAGTGAAATTAATTATTATTAAAAAGTGAAAATTTTTACCTATTTAAATAGTGATTAATTAATTTAATAATATTTCTTTTATATAACAAATTACGGTTTTTTTTGTTTTTTTTTTACTTTTTTAAAAAAAATGTCAGGGGCAAAATTGTCCAAATGGGGGCGGTAAGTAGTAATAGGTGGGCGGTGAATAGCAATTGAGAAAAATTTTTGGTTCAAAGCTTCACCCACATGTGTCCCAGTAATAGGTAGTTGTTTCAATTATACTTAATTCCATACGAATTTCTTTTATTAGTGATTATTAGAATATTCACTTGTGAGTTGTCACACATCGTTTATACAGGGAAATTAGGCCGAATTTATAAGACTAGTGGGCTACACCTCCTTCCATCAATTGATTTTAGGATGGAACCCCACTTGGGATTAATCTGGGCTTTCCCTCCTTATGGTGCGCTTCACGTGCGTGGGACCGCACCCGTTTTTTTTCCGTTTCTTACATGGTATCAGAGCCGGTTCTATGTGGGACCATTCGATGACGTACCTGTTTTCCTCACGTACCCATTTATGGGAACCTGTTTTTAGTAGGGCTTGGGCACCCAGCTCCGTATATGGGCTTGAACTTTCTTTTTAAGGACTCACAAGTGAGGGGATATATTAGTGTAGACAATTAAATTTTGAGCCAATAAAATGGCGACAAGTGTCAAATTCCATGTTAAAAATCAATTTAATAATTTTCTATTTTATTTGGGAAATTAATCAAATTTTAATTCCTAAATTAAATAGTTAATTAATTGATTATTTAATATATATTGTTGGCCAATTAAAGAATGCCACATGTATATTTTGAAGGCCAATTAAAGAATGCCACATGTCATTTTCTTGGAGAGTATAATAAATAATTATTTCTTTAAATAATTGTTAAAGAGATAAATAAGTGGAAATTCATGGACCAATCAAATTGAAGTCTTCTTTTCCAAGAGTCCATCTTCTAATTATCTCTTTAATAAATAAATATTGGAAATTATGGACCAATCAAATTGAAGTCTTCTTTTCCAAAACTCTCTCTCCTAACACCTATAAATAGGGACCCTCCCTAAGGTGAAAATCACAATTCATATTCATATTTCAAGTTTCAAGTTCAAGAGCTCTAGAGAATTCTCTCAACGAGATTCAAGTGTTCTTGAAGATCCAAAGGCGTTCTTGAAGATTCGAAGGAAGATTCAAGCGCATTCAAGCTCAAGACCGACGTTCAATCCGGAAACAAGCTGCCAAGCCTCCGAATTACGTTATTAAAGTCAAATCCAGCGTAGAGAAGATCAAAAATCAACTTTGCGGCGATGACCAAGGATTCGTGTTCTTCACGTTCTTGGAAAATCACGACGTTCGATTCGAGATCAAGCTATCAAGCCCTCGAAGAAACGTTATTTAAATTCAAATTCAAGACCGGCAGAGATCAAATTGAAGATTCGTCTCCAAAAGTCTCAAATCCACTTGAAGATTGTTCTTAAAGAAATTAATCAGAGGAATAATAGAGATTTTAGAATCCACTATATTTCATTTGATCCGTTGAAATCAATTTGTACGAATATCTCGTGTTTATTAATTCAATAATACGAATTTTGCGTTAATTCAATAATATCTCGTGTAAAACAGATTCTGTCTTTTGTTGCTCATTATTGATTTTCCCTCTTTACAAATCCATTTGTAAAACTTGAAAATCACAAGGAAAAAAAGTCCATGATCGAAAATCATATATTTCACTTTGAGTTCATAATTGTAGGATTGTATCTATTTTGTCTCATACAATCTTATTTTATCAATTTTAGTTTTTTGTCTTTTTTATATTTATTTTGGCCCAATTGCTTTGCAGGACAATTGTTGCTTCGAAGGTTCTAATTCAAGACTTGTTGACAAAATATATAATAATATTAGGATATAATTTTATGACTGCACAATGATTGGGGAAATACGTAGAAAGAGAATCGAACAATGAGTAGAGTTCGATATTAATATTTAGCTCGAGAGAATAAAAAAGGAAAAGTTTCTTTCCAATGTTCACGATGAGTCGACAGGTAATTAGCAATGAAGATGTTGCTATTATTCAAATACGCGCAAGCTGGAGAATCTCGGCATCTGTGACGATAGTTTGACTATGACAATCTTTCCTTATGTTTGAGAGTGATCCTATTTTCTCAAACATAAGTCTCTTATATTTTGATTTCAGTTCGTTTAATACAAGCGGATGTCTATGACAGACATTATTAACAGCACACTAGTAAACAACATGCCTCACTCACACATGATGAAACATAGCTTGGTGTTTAGTATCATTTTTTTTTTTGAGTTAGGATGTTTTCTGTTGATAACTGATTAGCTGATAAAAAATGATAATCGAAATTAGTAAAAAGTATTTGCATTTTGTTATTCAAATTGTTCTATTATTTTGCATTGTATATAATATGGTAATCGTGTTGAACAGAAGACCATATTATCGGTTACTTATAAAATATAAATTTTAGTGGCACTAACTTTGGATATAATAAGTTAGTTAATTAAATTGTCTAATGAAATTAATTAATGGACGTTTGATATCTTAAACACAGAGATAAATTGAGTATAGTGAGCAAGTAATTTGGGTTTGAGAAATGTAGTACAATAATAAATTTTTAGTGGAATGATTGTTATTAATGGACNAATATTCTTTTGTTCTTAACAAATTTTATTTTTGTTAATCATATATTATGTTTTTGTTGGTGTCCTATAATTTTCATATACCTTGGTAAATATATATGTTTAAGTCAAAGGCAAGGAGATGATAATCTTCTTCACTAGCAAAGTAGCAATTATCATGTTATTTCATAGATATATATAACTTCAAATTTACTTTTGTTTATACCAATTTTGAAGTTTATATTCTTTAAAAGAATAAATTTGGGACCCTCAAATACTTTTAATTGCGTATTGAAAAACTAATTTAAAAGTTTAGTGTTCAGGTTGATCTTTTGATTATGTAGCTTTGCATCGAAAATGTTGTCCTTATAGACGTGTGTTGTTTTTAGGTCTTCTCAACTGACTTGGAGAAATGTTGAGTCCAAAAAAGTTTCCTTCGTTGTATTGTTTGATTATTTCCCCGAATGCT